TTGGTACAGGGTAGAATGCATTTTGGTTGTTGCATAGCTTTGTGTACCTGGTTGTCCAGCGGACAATGCCTAAGGACATAAATCGGTGTTGATGCTTTGTGTCCTCTTGGTGATGGCCATTTGAAGACAGCCGAGTTTAAATAATCTAGGCGCAACTTGTTTCTGATGTATACCATAAGCTTCTACATAACATAGGTTTATCAGTTATTTCCTCATCTACCGAAGTCTCTTGCTAGCTATTTAGTACTTTTAACTGCGTTGTGTTGCTCCGTTTTGCTTTCCCCTTTGTGTATTCTGAGAACCATGATAGTTCTCTTTTTTGAACCTGTAAATTCTTCAGGCAAGGTGGTGAGATTTATCATCTGCTGCTCCCTCCCAAATACTTGCACCTGTTCAATCCAGATTTCAGTCACATTCATCAATAAAGTAGAGGTCTCAAAACTAATGTTTCTAAAGCTTTGTGAAAATAACTTCTGAAGTGGAGGAATGGGTTTCAAATTAGTACCTGCCTGAGGATAAAGGTACACTGTGAGTACAGCCATGTTACAAGACATCAGAAAATCTGTATGGGAAAAGATTACAGAAAGTCAGTTTTTATAATCCCGGTGTTCAAGAAACTACTTGATTTTTTTCTTGTGCTCTTAGCTTGTGATCAAGGTGGGTTGTGAAGGCAGCAAAAATCATGGTTCTTTTCAGAACTGATGACACACAGATGCAGCATAACTTTAGCTGCAAGAAACCCCATATCTATTTAACAGGAGAAGGTATAGAAGTAAAAGTAAATGTAAATGCAGCTGTTGGTTTAGTAAAAGATACTGCCTTTCCTTACAAGTTGTGCAACTAAATTAGCTTTCCTGTCAGTGTGTAAGTGTTTTTTAAACATTTTGTGAGCAGAGCTCTACATCGTTATATGCTTTAGGTGGGAAGTGAACAAAAATTTTACTTGATTTTCACTGAAAAAGCAAGTGCCTATTATTTCCATTAGGAGTTTCAATGTGAATATTAATACTGAACACATGCTGTGTGAACTGTTTTGGAGTAGGTGAAAGCAGTTACACTGTTTCCTGCAACAGTACTTTTATGGTCTATTCTGGTAAGTCTTAGAGAGGAAGTGGGTCAGCCTTCGGTGAGCTACACTAAAATTGCTTCAGATAAATGTAAAGGTCAGTGTAGGCACACTAGATTTTCTTATAGTAAAGTAGAATCTTCTCCTAGTGAAGAAATTACAGTTTATTACTAGCTGTGGGCTGTTGCTGTAACAGCGTTTTTATAGCCTTATGTGAGTCATGCTAAACTATGGCTCAACTTAATATTTTATGTACCTCAATATGTTGTTCTACATTCCTTATTACAACCTTTGAAATTTCCCATTTTACTGAATGCAATTGATACCCACTGGTAATGTCTTTAATACTTCTTGTAGTTATTTTTCAACCTATTTCAAATGCAAATATTTTTGTTACAGTAACATATGCAGTGATGATTAAAATTACTTCATGGGTTTGGAATACCAGCTTGACAGCTGGTTGTGAACAATGGTGAAAGTTGCAAAACTGAGTTTGATAAATAATGCTGTAACAGAAATATGCTCTTGAACTTTGGAGACAGGTTTCAGATTAACTGTTCTACCTAGTTGCTGTTGCCATTTTTTTCTTCAATTATAGCAAGAGAAATGAGAGCTCCGATAAAATTAATTAAGAGATTTCTTGGGTTTTCAGGAGAAGGAGTTTTAATGTGGACCACTGGCATGTTTAAAGTGTAATGTGAGTAAAAAGCTGAAGTAATATGTGTATTGTGTTCTCAATCTATTACAAAGGAGCTTCCAGTGTCCCAAATAGATCCAAGTAATTCTCATAATCATCCTAAGGAAACGTATTGAAGTAATTTAATATTAAATTGTCTGATCTGTCCAAGAGGTAATGCAGTTAGGATACAGTTATATTATACATGAGATCGTGGCTGTAATTTTTAGGGTAAGCAAGGTCGCTGCCCTGTACAGATCTTAGTTCAGGAGTTGCAATGAAGAGACCTAATATTCAGTAGAAAAGATTAGTTGCGGGAGCGCATAAGATTTAAAGTTGTACTCTGATGGAAAGCCTTTCTGCTCAGGGCCTTTTAAGAATCGTATTATTCCTTTACTTCAACAACACTTCAGGTTGTTCACTCCTCTTGAGTTTCATCTTTTGATCTGGCACCATCTGTATTGACAGTATTTTGGGGGGAATTCAGGGCAAGTTTAGATCAGATAGATAAATCCAAGCTGGATATATTGTGTTTGATCTTGAAGTATTTCATAGAACTAAGGCAACTTTACCACCATACTTATGCCATTATCTGGAGTAAATTGGTATGTCCACTCTAGGAGCTACATTGATTTTAGCGTTATAGTTATCCATATGGATTGGGGATACTGAATTGATAGAATTAATCAAATTGTAGTGTAAGACATTAGTGTCCCAGTCTTTCCTTTCCCTTTTACTTTGTGCTGCAGGGACGATAGCAGAATGGGCTGCAAAAGAGTATATATGCTAGTTCATATTCTGGCATGTTAACAGAAACCTGTTCATTTTGAGAGCTGAATATAGGTTTAAGCCTACTAGTTCAGTTTTTGGTGCACTTCCACTTCTATCGGTTCTCTATAAATGTGAAAGCCTGTGGCAGAAGGGCTGAGCAGGCAGCTGGGGGAATTGATGTCTCAAGTTAACCCAAATAAATGTACTTGAGTTTGTCTGTTCGAGTCTCATAGCTCCTGTTATATTAGCACAGATGTATTAGAAAGCTCTTTAAATCTCAAGGGCATCTCATTTCTGATACGCGCACCTGCAAGGATAGCTGTCGTCTTGGGTGTTTAACAGTAAAGCTAAAGGGGCTAGTGCCTTCCCCATTGTGCATTTATAGCTACTGAGAAACATGAGTTAATATATCTATTTAAGCATCATGCGTAGAAACCTTGTACAAATATACCTGGACTTGCCTCTACTGGTGGTTGAAATTCCTACTACACAAGCAAAAAAACCAAGCAAAAACCAAACAAACCCACCTAACCCCCCAAAAAACCCTCCACAGTAATTGAAACTTTGAAAACTCAAAGTAAGAATTAGTTTTAAATCATTCTGATGCCACATGTCTCTAGAAGTAATTCTAGGTTAATTGGCTTCCACTTTTCTCTTTCTCTCTGAATTTTCAGAAAATGGTTCCTTCATTTGAATGCTTTTCCTACTGTGTTGCTTCTCTTGCTTCTGAGAAGTACTTTTGTGTGATTTTGGAAGTTTTGATTCTTGTGAACCAAATGGATTAAGGAGAAGTGTAGCATTCTTCCAGAGCTGTCTCACCCCTTTCAAGATAATATGATTCTGCTCTACCAGGAGCCAAAGAAAATGTTAAGAGGGAGTGATAGGACTAGAGATTACAGCAGGATAGAAAAAGAGGTACGAGAAATAAATGCAAGTGACACAGTAGTTTCAGGAATTCAAAATGAGCTTGTGTTTCTACCACTCTCTGCTTTTGGTGATCTTGCAATGGAAATGTTTAAAATAAGTATTTCTGAAAATGGTTTAAAAGGAGAATATGTCATTTCTTTAGGTAAGATATTTCATGACCAGCTTGGATTTCTTCTTAAACATGCTCTTCAGTTCCCCCATTAATATTTAAAATTTGTGTACTTTACAGTCATGACTGTCCATTCAGCCATCACCATTCAGTACCTTTAACACTGGAGTTTGTGGTAAGTCAGAGAGGGAACCTGTGTGTTATGTGCCTAGATTTTCTCCACATCTATAACTCCGCCGTTATGGGTAGAAAACCATTTGTTCATTCCTCCATCAATTTATATTGGAAAACAAAGTGAAGAGTCTTGCTTTTAAACATCCTTTACATAATTTACTGAGTGTTTTCCATGTTTATCACTTGGTGTAATGTAGTAAAGAGCATGAACATTATTCCCTGCTTTACCTCAATGGAAGGGGTCTTCTGATGCTTTGATGTGAGAATCTGATTGCTGTGTTTACAGAGAAGGTTCACAGCCTTCAGAGAAGGATTAGAGTTCAGCAGCAATCTTTTTTGTTTTCTCTTCTTTTCGTAATAATGTTCATGCGAATATGGGTGAACTTACCAAAACATACTGAGTTAAAGACATGCTAAATGCTAGTGAAATTTGAGGAGGAAGGAGCAAAACATTTAGAAGGATAAGGCCTTAATCAGACACTGTCTGTGTTTAGGGATATTTTTTCTTACACAAGTGTGTGATTCTATGGATGTGAGTGCCTACATGTGGTGGGAAACTGTGCATTTAATACTCTAGAATTACCTGTAGCAGGGTATTCTCTCAACTTAATATCACTCCACTGAACCAATATTTTAAGAACATCAAACAGATATCACCCATTTGGAAAGACAGAATTAGTCGCTGTTAAAAAAAGTCATATATTATCAAAGAATTACAGTCTTAACTTCGTTTTGGCATTTAGGCAGCATCAAGAGATAATTATCCTTAAAAATATTTTATCATAATGACAACTTTTAAACAGAACTCCCTAATATACTATCAAGGAGGAATATTATGTACTCCATTTCCCATTCATAAATTTAAAATGCACTCCCTACCTGCAGTTAGTGAATGGTCTTTGATGCTCTTGCCATGTGGAATCCCTGAAAAACATAGAAATGTGATGAGGTGAGTTAAAACCAAACAATCATAGTGAGGTCAAAAACAAATGGGAGAAAAACCCCAAACGCTCTTCTTTCCAAGACAGAAATTTGGGAAAATACCTTTTTAAAGGAATGTATGCTGATGTGTTGCAAATTGCGTAGGACGAGTTGGCAAGGCTTTATCTCTCAGCAGAAATACAATAATCTTTATTGGATGGATATTAAGACTACCTTGCCAAAAGTGAGTAAAATGATTTTGGCAGGTAAAATTGTTACAGAGTTTATGCTTAACACTTCAGATTCATATGTTGTTTTCATGTGTGGTTTTTTTTCTTGAAATATATAGGCATTTCAGTAGGACTATGGAGGAGCTGGTTCACGATCTAGTCTCAGCACTGGAAGAAAGTTCAGAGCAAGCCAGAGGAGGTTTTGCTGATACTGGAGATCATTCTCGAAGTGTGTCTTGTCTTCTAAAGCGACAGGCAAGGAAAAGGAGGGGACGAAAAAGGCGTTCATTTACCACCCATCATCCCTGGGAGACTGGTCACTGCTTAAGTGAAGGCTCTGATTCCAGTTTAGAAGAATCAAACAAAGACTACAGGGAGAATCATGCTAATAAGAAAGACCACAGTGACTCTGATGACCAGTTGTTGGTTGCTAAACGTAGGCCTTCCTCAAACTTAAATAACATTAGAGGCAAAAGACCTCTGTGGCATGAACCAGACTTGGCTGTTGACAGTTTGGGAAACAGAACTTTGCGCAGGAGAAGAAAGGTAAAACGAATGGCAATAGATCTGCCATCAGAAGTCTCTAATGCACTGACAATAACTCAACAGCAGGATAACAGCAGAGATCAAGAAATGGACAATGACAATAAACCATACCAACACCAGGAGTTTTCTAAGAGCAAAGTGAAAAAAAGAAAAGTAGCTGCAGCTCGACAAGGACCGGAAATCTTGGATGAAGGAGTAGTTATAGAAAATGAAGAACTGAACCAAGCAAATAAGGACAAAATGGAGTATGAGGAGCAAAAAGGCTCAGATGAGAACATGAGTGACAGGTTATTCTTTCTCTTCCTTTTTACAGAAACTTTGGATAATATATTGTTTGCTTTTTTTACTGTTGCTTGTATTGGGAATCTTTGGATTTTTCTTTAATTCCAGAGTTAAAATGCTAGCATCAATAGTATCTGTTTTAACAAGTTACTCCTAATTGTTTTTTTAAGTCTACTATTTTTAATATACATGAGTTGCTCAGGTTAAGGAATTCATCATAAAATAGAGAGTCATGTAGCAGAGGAATAACCAAGAAGACAGTTTCTTGAAATAATACATCCTAATTGTTTCAAGATTAAGAATGACAGCATATACAAATGATTAATATGTTTTTTTCTGGGTATTTCATCTGGTGACGGTTCTCAGACAAAAATTTTTTCCAATTTCTAGACATTGGTGCTTTGATTGTTATCTCTATTCATCAGAAAGGTTGTCAGTGTTTAGAGTCACCATTTAGACAGTACGTTCTTATGTGTCATGGGCATAAAAAGTCTGCAGGTTGCCAAGGATATACATCATTTACGAAATGCAAAAACCAATTTACAGTTCAGAAACACCTGAGCTTACCATTAGAAAAATGGGGGAATGATGACCCTTTGGCAGTACACCTCATCCATCCATTCCAGACAGCAGTCATACTACAATGGTAATTGTTTCCAAAGTACTATTTTGACAACACAGTAAGGTGTAAGTCATTTTTCCACCATACACAAGGGATGTTACCTGCAGGGCCTGGTAAGCTTGATTATGTTTATCCCATGTGCCTGGTTCTGAATGCAGAACTGTCAGCAAGAAAGACTCATATTAAAACACATAATTTTGGTCAGTTGCTTGACAACACCAGTGTCCCTGTTTTTTTTGTAGGCATTTTATCTGTAAACTGTTAAGCCTTTTCCTTACTAGAGAGGTAGAATTTAGATGCAGATAGTACCCAGGGGTTTTGACCCAGACAGACAGATCGGTTACTGTAATAACAGCAGTATTGGTAAGTGACTAACTCTGGTTATTGTTGGATAAGCTCTTCTAAGTCTTTTTATTACATGCTAGTTTTGTCCCTTACCTGTGGACAATAAGCAGCTGAAAGAGCAGTATGAATCATGAGTCTTAAAGATTGTTACTAATGTCTTAATTACTAGAGCAGAAGCAACCCTTCAGGGCAGCCTGTTTAACTTCAGACATCTCACTGACATGCAAGACAGGAGTGTGTGTTGTCAGGAAGCCTTTAGAAAACTTCCTTATTTGATGATACTGGGAATCTGTTCCCCCAGGTTTGGTACCTAAAGACAGATGGTTAAAAATTCCCTTGGAGCTAGGAACCATTGTGTATTTTATCATATGTCCATATTCTTGTCACTTTTTTATTTATAAAATATTTTCTGTTATGCTACAAGGGTAACAGTTCTCCAACTCAAAAATTCTGTAGCTAATTTTTGGGTGGAGAGAAGAGTGATCGTTACAAAAATCCTCTTGTAGAACTCCCAAAACTATGCTACTTCCAGGTCAGTCTAAATATCTTTTTATTTTTTCACAAAAGAAACATTATTGATTTAAAAATTCATCTTCCTCTTCAAAATGCTTTATGTTTTGTTACACCAAATGCTGTCATTTTTCAAATCGTACTTCAAAAGTTTGTCTCTGGCCCCAACAAATGGCCTTTAAAACCATTCTCATCTTCATTGTGTTTTCTGCTCATGCACTTCGTTGAGTGATGGTCTGTCATTCTACCGAATTTCTTGCAATGGTCATCTGTACCAAAAGGTTTGGAAACCACTGAATTAGAAAATTTGCATTCCATAACGTGATCAGAAATCCACCTTCTCTAAGCCTCTCAGGTGCATACTGTATCTGAATATTTTGTATGTGAATAATTTTAACTGATTTTAAACTAGCTTTACTTAAATGCAGTAGTGCCTCTATTGTTTGAGATCATTTAGCTTGAAGAATCAGAAACAACTAGCAAACTGTTCCTAAGAATATGTTCTAAAAGTAAAAGCTGACATTTTTAAAAGGGAACACGAGTTTTGTAGGATTGCACGAGATATGGAGAGATAACAAAGCATCTTGGATAAGACTCATGCTTCAGCAACACTTGTTGGAAGAGGAAAAATAAAAAGTATATAAAGCTTTTCTAATTTTGTACATTTGTGTGCATACAGTTTAATAACTATTCCAAAAAAAGGATTAATTTTTTAGAAGTTCAGGTTTTAAAAACAAAACAAAGCCAATAATTTTTAATCGGAGTTAAATTGTTTGGATCTAAAACTGGTGAGGAGAAGTTTTCAGTGTATACATGAAATTACTTTAAAGTAATGTAACATATATATTTGAAGTGCACATTAAAAATGCTAAGTGACACTTCTGTTGCAGTCTTCTATCCGTGCGTGTTCAAACACCAAGCACAAAAATAGCCCTTTAAGTGCAGGGTTTGGGAGTAGTAGTATGAGACTTCAAGCTCTTAAAATGTCAGCATCTAAATGATGCCAAAGCTGAATTCCTGTGAGGTTGGTTTTGAGCACTGGAAATGATATTTTCGTGATCAGAGCCTGTCCTTTGCTCATTCTGCCTTATCCTCAATGCTTAGCTCCTTGGCCAGTTTCAGCCAAATTTGGCAATGCATGGAGTTCTGGATGATACTTAATTCCTGCAAGCTTTGGCAATTGTTTGCATTTTAAGTGACTAAATAGAGGAGAAATCTCAATTGCTCCTTTTGAAAGAGAGCGGTAGTGAAACTCAGACCTTTAATAGTGTCAGAGACGCCTACCTGCCAGTCAGTGCGAGTACAGTGGCTGGTCAGTTCTTGGGGACAGGCTTAGTGAAAGTTAGTGAAGAAAGGTCATAAGTCTCATATGACACCAAGGTGTGGGACAGTTTGCTAGTAATAGTAACTAATAATGAAACTTATTTCTTCTTTGTTTCCACAAATGTAAAAATAAAGCTGTGAAAGCTTTTTGGGTAGCAGAGCTGTTCCTTCCAAGTTTTTGCTTGCACACCCTGTTTTATAGGACTAAAAGGAATCTGTGGCTTCTTTCTTTTTCCTGGAAGTCATGCTGGGAGTGGAATTCTCATTACAAAGCAAAGGAATTAGCAATATACAGTGCAAAATTATATTAAAACTGGAAATAAATTCCATCATAACAGCTTTCATGTACTCAGATATTAATGTATTAATTCCAGAGGTTTTGAATTTATTCAGTGAAATGATTGTCATGTAGCAATTATCTCAGCTGTAATCCCTGCCCTATTTGACTGTGGCCTGAGGAGAATGAACACTGTGGCTGCCATGGATATACCGGTGTTATGGTTTGATTTTTTAAAAACAAAACAAAACATTATTATGTGTAATTTTGAAAATTTCAAGTAGTTACATTTTCACGAACTGGCTAGTCCTTTGGTAAGAATTATTGCACAATTAAAATATCTTAAAAAAAAAAAAGAGACTTGTCAAAATTGAAAATTTTGGTGGTGAAGGTGGCTGAAATACTAGGGTTGAAAGGATTTCCTAAATTTCATTTCAAAATGTACAATTAAACAATAAATGGATAGGAAAAATCTATGAAAAGGGGATGGTTTTTATTTGAGAAGTATGATGTAAAATTGTGCACAATGAAGTGTAAGGACAGTAAAGCCATCCATGTTGCAATTGAAGTGAGGATGGGATGCTTGCTAGAAAGAAGTTACTAGGATTTGCAACACTAGGAAGTTCAAGTTTTGGTCTTCCTCATGAAAGATAGTTCTGTTCTCATTGCATGCCTGTCGTCTTTCTTCTGCTTAGGGCAATTGTACAAGTGCTTAAGTCTGCTCTAGTTATATTATGTATAAAAGATGGTATAAGTATTGCTTATACAGTAAAAATATGGATAAGCAGAAGGTACAGCAAAGGTTAAGAAAACTTAATCTTCAAATACAGAGCTGTGTGTGTATATACATATTTTTAAAAAAAAAAATCACTGCTTTGTGTCCCTTGATACCATATTGTGTTTCAAATCCTCCCAAAGTAAGATACAAAAACCAAATATGTACTTATAATTAAACACAAATTAGACTAACTTTATATAATTCTTATTACAAGCTTTAAAAAAATTGAGGCTTATTTTTGTGAAAGGTTAACATTTAAAAGGAAATAATTTTTTGAAGTGTACTAGTTATTTAGAAACAAAAATAAAATTAATTTATTATTAGAAAGTAGCTAAAAATTATTGGAACTAGTTGAATTCAAGTATAGGACTGCATATATGTTTTAATATGAGTAAGTGTAGAAAGGTAAACAGACCTCAAGTTCTTACAAGTAGCTTGTATGGAACATTGAGAATAACCGTAGCATTTATAACTTGTACTTGAATTTGTGTGGTGAACTGAAGTGATTTTTTTCAAATTGTTCTACATCTTACTGTAAGTAAAATGTGATTAAATTTTGGTGAGAATATTACTTCCTTAGCAGAGCTACTCTATTGACAAAAAAATGAAATAAATGGTTTACAAAAAAATCTTTTAGTGTGAAACTCACCAAATTGTGATCTGTGTTATTAAAAGACAATTCTGTTTTACTATTTAGACACATGTGGAATATTGTTTATAACAATGCGTATACAGCAAAGAACAAAATACTTTACCTATTGATGTCTTTGAGTTTAGGGAGAAGTATGTGCATGTTGTATACACACATTAAGGCCATGATGGAAGTCACAGAAAAGTAAACTGTACCTTGCTTTTTTTTGTTGATGTCATGATCATTGATCATACTTACTTTCTTCAGGGTGACCTTTATTTTGATTTAATTGGCTACCTTTGTTTATAAACTTTTTTCTTTCTTAAGTAGTATGTTGTGAAACCTTAAGCAGTGTCTTTTCCAGAATACTTGCAAATGATGTTTAGAAAGGTAGTTCGATTTTCAGACTCTTATATTTCATGTGCTGAAGGAAGGCTTAGGCCGCTTTTGATTGAGACTTTTCCTACTTTATTGAGCAGTGGTGTTCCAGGATCAAGCTGAATTGCACAGCATAAGAAGGAAGCAGTGAGCATTTGATGGAAGCAGATAATAAAATGCATCAATTGTGTCAGCACCTCGTTGCAGTCACATCTGGCTTACTGTCAGGGTACCATTAGATTCCCGTGGTTTTATGTGCCAAAAATAATATGCTTTGTAGTTAATGGAACTAGGATATTTGCAGTTTGATTAAAAAAAAAAAAAAAAAATCCTATTTTCTTTCCGATCTTTGTTGGGCTTAAGTTCAATTTGAGCACAGCCTTGTCTCCTTAAAATTTTACGACTGAAAGATCAATTGTTCTTTTGATCTGTTTCTTTCTTTCTCTTATTACAGTGAATCCAGCAGTCTGAGCAGCAGTGATGCTGGTTTGTTTACCAATGATGAGGGAAGACAAGGTATTGAAACAATCTTTCCCTTCTCCACCCCTCAAACCACATCAGTTGAAATTCTGTAAGCGTTACAAGTTATTCCATAGGTTAATTACTATATTTCAGTTGCTATTACTATTTTAATGAGTTGAAGTATAGCTTGCTTTCTGGTTTTTTTGAAATGTTACCAGCGGGTGTCCTGAATGCATGACTTAGTCAAAAGCTGTCTTGAGAAGCAGTCACTGTAATACAATAAACTTACTTACAACTTGAGAATCTCCAAAAGACTATCTATACTAAGTTTTAATTCTTCCATTGCTCCAATTTTTGGACAGGACTCTGTGATCATAGTACTGCTTCTGAAACTATTTTTGAGGCATCTTTTCTCTTTCTTTCCTTCCAAACTGATATGGCAGGTTTTTATAGTTCTTTTTCACAAGCTACTTTTTCAGTAGTCTAAGATTGCGATTAGAAGATGCATGCTGTTTATAATCTCTTCCCTCTGAAAAATTTTTTCTTTAGTCTAAAATGCAATGAAGATTCAAAATTTTCCTTTAGTATGCATAATGTTCTCACGTGTTCTAATGTGATAAAACTATTGAGGATGGAAGTATAAGATTTTTTTTTTTCAGCTTTAGTGTTTATTGCCATCTTTAAGTACAACACATTTACCTGTATTATGCTAGCATCTTAGCGCCCAGCTTGTGGACTAGGAAATCGCTGTCTTTGACAGTATACAAAAATGAGGCAAAAATAGTCTCTCAGGTGATGAAGACTTGCTTTTCTGTTGGCGATTCTAAGTTAATGGTAATGGAGATGATTTTCTTATGCAGTTTGCCACAGACTACTTGAGGGTATACAAGAAAACAAATCCTGGCCCATTCCACAGATCTAGGTTAAAGGGATTTTTTTTTTTCTCTGATGTATAATTTAGTCTCTTACGTTTTTTATCTTCTATTTTAATGTTACAGTAGGGAGTTGATTTTTCATACTTAGAACAGAGGTGTTACCTTCCTTCCTCAGCAGTAACTCATACTACATAAACTGTACCTCCCAGTCTGAGTATCTGTTTTTATTTGTGCTAACACATAGCTTTTTTTGGAGAATTTAGGTGCTCATTGAAAGTTTAGATCGATCTTTTAACTTCAGATGAAAAGTCTTTCAATATATGACACATCAAAAAGATTTGCTTTTACTTCCCTATATGAATTTCTCTTTCGATGTGCAGTTTTTAAAACTTTTGTCCTCTATATTTGTATGTAACATGACCTACCACATTTCATAATCACATACATTTTTGAAGTACCCTTCTGATATATTTGTATCAATATTTTTGTCCTTAAATCCTGAACTAAATTGTTTAAATCTTTGAATAATATGGTTGAAAATGTCTCAGTTACTTTCTGGTTTTCGTATATATTTTGTGGGAGGAGAAGTGGGGAGGGATTTGTGAACAACAGTGTTCTTTCACTGGTGTGGTGTTACCTTTTTTAGTGTTTGTTCTTACTATTGAGCTGTAATTCTTAATTTTTGCCTGTTTGATTTTTTTGAACCTTGATTCAGTTTGATTGTAACTTTCAAGCAGAAAGCATTAGACCTGAAATAGTATTCTGAAATATAAATAAAAGGAACAACAATAATTAAACTTGAGAAGGATATTGTCAGGACATAACATTATTTTTTTAATCTCTACTTTGAACTAGTTGTTTTGTGGGTATGATCAGAAGACCATTAGCTTCACACTTCACATTTCGGACATTCTTAGATCTGCATTATAACTTTGGTTTTGTGAATGCTTTTCCATGAAAGTATTAATCAGAGATCCTACTGCAAAACCAAAATTGTTTATTTTCTAGTAATACTTATTCCCCCCCCCAAAGAAAATGCTAAGTAATTTTTATCTTTGTACTCCTCTTATGAAGTAAGATGAGGTTATTTTATTTCTGTAAATTAATTTATAGCTGAGCTGAGACACGTGTAAAATTGAAAAGAAGGAAGGAAGGAGAAAATAAATCTGATAAAAGCAAAGGAAAAGCCTTGCTGAGAGAAATGAAACTGGAAGAGGACAGGATCAAAATGTATTAAGGGAAGAACTGGCTGATCTTGTTGTCCATTTTTAAAAGACAGACTAATTCCTGTCTTCCCAGTGTCCCTCGTCCAGGATATATGTTCAGAATATCAGCATCTTGACCTCATTTGTAGTTCAAATTTTCTGCACTTCTGACTTCAGGTTTCCGCTAAGTCAAGTGGAGAACCAGAGATTGATTAATGCCGCATGGTGAAATACTTGGTTTAAATGATATGCCTGCCATCATTCAGAAATTTGGGTAGCAGAGGACAAGAGGATCCTGTTCTCCGGGGCAAAATTTGTTCATTTTGTGTCTCTGAGATTAAGAACCATATTTCATTTATTGCAGACGAATAGTCTTTATAAAACCCTAATTAATTCCCAAAGCATATTCCTCCTATGGGACAGACGTTCTAGAAAAGAAAGTGATCTAAAGCAGCAATTTCTTCGAGCAGTTGGCCAATCAGTTAAATAGTTGAGTATTTAGTTCTGAACTTCGGAGTGCCTGACCTTACAACTTTTAATATTTTCCAAAATTGTTTCAGAAAGCAAACAAATAAATTCCACCACAGTAACTGTACTCTTCTGTACACAGACTCTCAGAAGAGTTTCAACTTTTTATAATTCGATTCAAGAAAACCAGGTGTAACTGTAATTGGGGGTAGTAGTGGGTTAATTGCTAGATATATTTTAATTGCCATCAATTGCTGTGATAAAAGAAAATTGCTGAGACTTGGAAATCATGTGTTCAACTTCTAATATGTTGTGTGCCATCTTTTAAAAACCTTTATACCTTTTTCCTTTCTAGCCTGCCTCTGTTCCAGTCTCATAGCTTTTTTTTGTTTGTTTGATTTGTTTTGTTCCTATGAAGTCCTCATCTGAGCCTAGCCATGCTTGTCCTCCTTTTCCAAGTTATCCAGGTCCTTACATTAGGTTATGTGAGAGGGCAAAAGCAGCTCTCTTGCTGTGCTGTATCCCACTATTGTATTACCTTCTGGCGGAAGTAATTGGTACTCAATGTTTTGCAATCCCAATGAGGCAAATGTTTTTCTTCTGTGAAACATTGCATACCCTCTCCAGTTAGCCAGCAAAAGCTTAAAGATCATAGAAAATGCTCAGTGCTGGTACAGTCAGTGAAGAAGATAGCTGCTACGTACGAACTGCCAACTGTTAACAAACCTCAAGTGAATTCTTATGGGTTGTATTTTTTTCAGAGGTTTGTAAATTGGTCAACTTTGGGTAAGGTTTAATATAGTTAGCAAAAAAACCAAAATCCTATGCAAATATCAAGCCCTTGAGCCCTTGAATACGGAGGTGGGAGAGCCTGCCAACAAAGTGAAAGAACTGAACAGTGGCTGGAGCTTATGTATCAGAAATCCTTGAGACTTTCCTTCCTACTCTTTCCTTTGTTCTTAATAGCATTTTCATAAACGGCTGTTTTGCAACTATTAAAAACTTTAATGCTAAGCAGTGTTATGCCTGGTGTAGAAAACTTTTGCAAGAAGAGTTTCAAAACAAAAGGTCTAATCTTACATTGCAGCATGTAATACAACTCTAAGCCTAGCTAGTAGGATCACCTGCAGTTTCAAGGCACTTCACAGGTATGCTTTACAAAGGCACTTTATAAGTTAAGCTTTCCACAAAATGTTAACAAAAGTGTAACATTATTCAAACACTAGTTGATATTATTGCTGTTTTGGGGAAAAAAAAGTCAAATTGCAAGTATATTCTTTAATGACTTTTATAGTGAGGGAATGGCAAATAAAACATCATATTCTGCATTCCTAGTCCATCTACACCTACTAGTACACTTGGGGAAATTCAGAGTTTTACTTAAGACTTCTTAAATCATGACATGCAGCACTTGAAATGTCCTTTAACATCTAAGCAAGTAAGAAGGAAAATTATATTAATAAAGTGTTAAACAGTTAAAATTGGAGAAAGTCAGGGAATGTCAGAGTTCCACTATGGATGTGGCTAAGCTTTTAAAGATAGCTGTTCATTATTTTATGATTAAACATGTATTCATTACTGTGTCCTTTATGAAGATGACCCACTACTGATTCAGTATATGAGAATTCCATCCTTTTGTCTTCTCTAGCAAGAAACTATTTGGACCTTGTATAGCATCTCAGTAGCTGCAGGTGTCAGGGTGTCGTTCTCCATATATAAAAGAAATGGAATGTGCAATGCTAAGTGTAATCAACCCAGTTTTGAATTGTTGTGCCTAATTACTTTATAGTCTTTGCAGGTGAAGAAGAAATAACATTAAGTTGTTGTATATGACCTCAATAGCTGAAATCCTAAATATTGCATGTGGATCACAGTGGTAGAGGTGAAAATAAAGCTGAGATCACATGATATCCTTGGTCCAGTTTATTAACGGCACACCTGTACAGTCGTCCTACTCAAGAGCAGGGTATGATACTACATTGGTCGGGAGGGGTGGGTGGAGGCCTTCATGTGAAGTTTTCAAGCTTGAATCAGAAGAATTAGCTGCTTAATTTGAATGGTGTCTGAATGGTGTCCTGCTATCCCTTTTGCCAAGGTGGCTCTTGTAGAGCACAAAGAGCAAGATGTAACGTGCCTCTGTGGATGGGTAACTTAAGCTTCTGCTTTCCTGAAACTCCTTGTATGTGTTACAGTTAATCTTCTGAGGTTTCCAAATGATTATTACAGCTGTTAGCAGTAGGGTTTTTTTACCTAGAAAGAGGTATACTGGTCATGGAAATGAGACTAGCATCCTAGGGTATTTTACAGTCCATGTGCTGTTGCTCTCTGTGTGCAACTGATGGATAATGGAGCAGCACACTATCAAGTGGTGTTTATAGGACACTGATGCCAAACTCTTTTCACAGTAGCCACTCAAAGTAGGTTGTGGTTGTTATAGGCAAGCACACGTACACCATATGTGAATGCTATGGAGGGTAGTCTGGTCATTTTGAAATAAAACTAGGAACGGGGGGAAAGCTTTATTTGTACGCAGGGGAAAGTCTGTTTGTTATAATCCTGCACTGCTTTAACTAAAATAAGATTCAGGTGAAGCTATTCTGCTATTCTGAACATGAAACTGATGGTGATGCAAATGGGGTCTCTGTCCATAAAGAAACCATAAGAAGCCCACATAAATCATTTTCTAAACTTCTTACAGGGGAAGGCAGGTAATTTAACATGAAGGAGTGGTAATTAGATAAATATGTAGACTCAATAATACAGAAGTGAAAATTAGGGAAACAGTAATTGCGGGGAGGGGAAAGCTTAAAAATAAGTGCCTTGAAATTTTAGAATTGAAATTGACATTTCTGAGCCTTAATTTTTTTTTTTTTAACTGATCAGTTATAATAGGATGTAAATTGCTTTGAAGTAATTCTTTGAAGCATTAGCATTATCTACAAACAAGTTTAAATATGTGGCTAGGAGAATGCATGGGCTCAGAGATCAGTTTTTGGAGATCTGGAGGTGGTTTTACCTTTCCTGTAGCTTGGAAGAATACAATAATTTGCTGTGGCCTTGTGCTGAATAGAGGTTCAAAAAAAAAGGAAAGGACAGTGTAGTGAATCTTTTGAAGTAAAAAATGCTGCTTTGAATTTTTAATTCTCATAACTTCATGTTTGCTATGGATACTGTGTTGCCTTTTGAGAGATGCAAATTAAGTAAAAAATCCAAGTATTTGGTTACCAAATTCTTGAGCAGAGAGGCCTCTGTGTTATATTGCCTGTACGTATGAGTTCGCGAATTGGTTACATGCAGTGGTCTTCCCTGACTCCTTTTGAAAATGGCATCCCTTCAGGGTAGAGCAACGCACAAAATGCCTGTGGGTGCTCTCACCTGCATAAGAATAGTAGTAATAGGTTTATGTTCACCTCAAGGTGATAATATGATTGAAAATAGTCAAAGGATTCCGAGTTGTTTAGAGTGCACAGACAAGGAAGCTAAAAAACAGGTATACCTGGATTCTGCTGTCACGTGGGAAAAGCCTACGAGGTTCAGATCTTAAGTCCTTTATTCTGCCTTTGGCGGTAAGCAACAGAAGTGCGTAGGGAAGTGTGTAATAGCATAACAGGTAAGATGTCTTAATGGATAGTTGCTTAACATACTAATATTCGTATTGCACAAAAAAGAAAAGTAATTTTGTATTTTTTCCCAAAGAACCATTGTTGGGCGTATAGCAAAGATACCAGTTTCCTTCCATAGTCACTATTTGCCTTATCCTGCACCAACCCAGTCTTAAACTCTAGGTCTTGCTTCCGAGATTGCATTGCATACCTCTTGCAGAATTCTGTCCTTGAGCTGATTGTGAAACCAAATTTCAGAATTCTGTACTTAATTTCATAGCTGAATTATGTGTGACAAGACTTCTTTTGAGTTCTTGATAGTATTTCTTATTAGTCAAGGTATCTAGAGCTCTCATGACAAAATATTCAGACAAAGTTTATCTACATAAGAGTTTGGAAAATCTAAACAAAGGAGTTCAAACTTAATTCTGAACCACAGATCAATCTAATGATCTTCCTCCACCACCACCACTGTCTCTGTTCAGTACTCTTAGACATCCTCCAAAGAAACCATACCTGACTGTAACGAAATGGGGATAGAATTAATGGTGATCACCTTTATGAACTGTCATAGCTATAAATGAGGATTAGAATAAATACGGAGAGTAATCTGAAATACGTCAGGAATGCAAAGAAACTTAAATCTTATTTGGACCTATGTATCTCTTTCCACTTCTGTCTTCCCTTTACTCCATCTAAAAATTCCTGTTCTCTAGCCTCTGCTAATTTTGCTGATGATAGCAATCATTAAAGATGTAAGGATCACGTTTCATGTGCAAGTGACCAGTGAGGGGCCTTAGTATTCTATGTTTTCTTGAATTACTTGTCCTGATAAATGCTTACAGCCATTTTCACTTGTGCTTGGTCTTGAAGTATTCTTTTCATTGCAACAATTTATTTGGAGAAAGTGTGGTGAATTTTATTTTTCCTCAAATTTTGGCTTGGGTTTTCATTATTTGTATTTTCCCATTGCAAGGTTGAGTGGCAATGAAATTTTACACAAAGGCTTCTTGTTCTTGAAAATTGTGTCTAATAAATCTTGCATTTGTCTTGTTTAGTCCTGCCTAATTAAAAATTGAAATGCCAAACAAATCATTTATATGCAGAAATAGTGAGGCATGGTTTAGATACGTTGAAATAGAATTAAAATATACAGCATATCCTTTGAAATCTGATTTTTGGGTGAAAGAAAGGAAACTTGCCATGCCTTATGAAGATATTTTTTGATCTTCTGTAAACTACCTGGTTTGTATAAAAGAACATGTTTTAAAACAAGCATAGCAATTTATTTTTAGTTGCCAGTGTGAGCTAAGTTTAAGATCAGATTTTCAGTTTTGTCTTCCTTTTGACTTTAAATCCAGATATTTAAATACTACATCTATAAATATTGTCAGTAAAAATGACCAGCTTTGTGGTATAATGCAGTATAATTCTCAATCACATGATACTGTCAGTTTTCATTTAAAATCAACTTTTTCAAAACTTATTTCTAAATGAACTTAATCAGATTAACTTCATTTAGTCACATCTGTTCATGATTGTTTTCCCCTTTTACTAGCCATACAAATCATGAAATTAAGCTAATTATATACCATTATCAGCTCCAAAGAACTAGTTTCACAGTTTTATACCTTTTAATTCCCTGCAGGAGATTAAGGCTTGTTTTTTGTTAATATGTAAAGTGCAGTAACTTAAATGGATTTCCCTGCAGTTATTGCCAAAGGATTAACTAGTTTATTATTGTTTTTCACTATTGAAATTGGTTTTAAAACATTACATTTTATGTGGTTTCATTGATGGCAATGCTTGTCATGCTATTGAGAAACATTTTCCAAATAGAATTGCTATATATGAGTAATTGTTATACAACTATAAAGCAAAAGAAATAATTGTCCTGTCAGAGTGTTTATTGATGGTAACAACTGATTTTTATCTTCTCTGCTCCTCCCTCATTTTTGGGGGCTTGGGGGGGATACTGCCCTCACACAGGTGATGATGAGCAGAGTGATTGGTTTCATGAAAATGAATCTGGTGGAGCATGTGGAATTACGGGGGTCATTCCATGGTGGGAACAAGACGACTCTACAGAACTGGAGAGAGAATTGCCTGATCCAGTCTTTGAAAGTATCTTAACCGGTACTTTCCCTCTTATGTCCCGGTCAGGGAGGAGAGGTAAGTAGCAATCAAGCAAATGCAAACTGTAGAATCACTTAGGTACAGTAGAAGGATGTCTGTAGATTATACAAACTATGTAAAATGTTGACAAGTTACCAGTTTGTTTCCTTGAGCTATTTAATTTTTAAGATATTATTAGAGAGAAATAATTAAAAAGTCAATGATTAGAAAAGTCAGAAAGTGTAACACTTAGTTTATGTTGATAGCCTACTCTTTTATTTGTTGTCTCAATGTTTGCATTGAGAATTATTAAGCCTTATTTAAAGTGAATCTTTATATTCCATTTTGTGCCTAGCTTCTGTGATAATGTTTAGAATTCTATAGAAGTTCATTAATTCAAAGGCTGAAAAGACTAGTGTGACCATCTGCTTTGCGTTGCTTTATGGTTGGGCCATATTGTTTGTAGAGAAGAAGGAAGGATTCCTTTAGAACAAGGATTGAGATTGTAACTTAGAAAATGGCCTTTTCTTTTTTTTTTTTCTTTAAAATACTTCAGACAACTGTGGATCCAGTGTATCCCATGGTAAGCTGTACTAGTGTTTGATTGCATTTACAGCTAGGAACCCACTCTTAAAATTGAAGTTGTCAGATCTCAGCTTGCTGCCAAAGGATTTTGTTGTACCTTCCCTCTGCCACAAGGATCTCTTTTCACATTTAAATACAGATCTTTTATGTGAGCAGTGGTCAAATCACTTTTAAACTACTCTGCACACTGAATGCATTGAATTCTTTTTTAAGGCTTATTTTCTAGATACTTGGTATTGTTTCTGAGGACTTGGTTTCTGCATATTCACCAGATTTAACATTTTCTAGTACTAATGAAGTTGTAAGTGATGCGAAAATCACTTTCCTACTGTAGGTTCAGTATGCTCTGTTTATGCAGCCAACTGTGCATAGAACCAGGATGGCAGTAAGAATATCTACAGTAATGTTCATTTTCATGACAACTTAGGCTTTCTATCACTTTTCCCATTCTGTGCTCTTTGTTTCCACCAGTACAAGGTTTGACGATATTAATGTTTAACTGAAGTCAGATTAATAGATTGGTATGTAGTGGTGAATTTTATTGGTTATATAGTAGAGGAAATATTCTTAAATTGATTTGTACTCCTTTTTTGTAGGTTTCCAGGGTAGATTTAGTCATCTTCACGGAATGCCAGCAAGAAACATAAAAAGGGCTTCAGGAAACCAGAATGCATTGGTAGGTGCTTTTATTATTGTAAGCTAATGTGTACTGTTCTTACAGGTTTTTTTTTAAAAAAGCATATTCCTCTCATGCTTGTTTCCTGTTGTAGATAGGTAATGGAATGGTAAGGCTACAGTGCCACTGCTGCCTGATGCTGTTTGTTTGCCTTTTTTGATAGTTAGACTCTTCCACTGCAATTCTATTGTAATGGAATATTTGTGTGTACTTGAATGGCAGAAACAGTCTAAGACGGTTTCTCAGTACTTATTTCGAACTGAGTGAAGGAAAAGGTTGGGGGGGCATTATTTAACATTTTCAGTATATAACTCATTTAAGACGAGAGAAACATGTTTCCGTATACAATGAAAATCAAACTGAAGTTATTTGAAGTTTTTCTGATGCTGAAAGCATTCTAGGATGGATTGTTGTACAATTCTGATTTTTTTTTTTTTCTTTTTTCCTCCCAAAAGTCTGCTTTGAAAAATCTGTCCTTACTCTCTTTTGTTTGGTTGACTTCTGTGTGGTCGGGGAAGGGGAATATACAAAAAATGTAAAGCAAGTTAGCGATGCAACTGTTATAGACATCATGCATTCCTTTGGAGTGAGTCTGTTCTAAGGCTGTGACTACAAATGAAAGATGTTTGTTTTTTTTTTTAAATGCCTTCAGCTCTAGGATTAATGTTTATGAGTGAAGCAGAAAAAAAATCCAACTGTCCTTGCATTTTTGTACAATCTAATCATTGGATTTTGCCATAGCTTTTTTCTAAAATAAGATTCTAATGAATTTTAAGAATTCTTTCGAGGAGGGCATGAGGAGAAGAAAGACTTGACTTTTTAAATTAAAATGTTAAAATGTATTAATTGTAGTGCAGTCTATTTCTTTCTTATCAGAATAGTGTTTGGAAGAGAAGGAGAATGTGGGAGACTTTATCAGTGTGTAATAAACATATCACAGCATGATAAATACTGCAACATAGACGTTCTTTATTATTTGAGAACATTAAATATTTTCAAATTTTAATTTGCCTAGACAAAATATGGTGCTTCTGAGAAATGTAAGAGCTATTATAAGTGGACGGAATAGAAGGGAACTGTTAGAAATTTAACTTGTTTTGAAGAGGGAAGGTTTTATAATTGAAGTCCCTGTCCAATAATTGCCATTTGGAGCTGAATAGGATGCTTTAAAACCTTGGCCTGTGATCTCTGCTGTTAGTGGTCGTGAATTAGATGAATGCTATCTAGTTCTTGGTTTCCTATCTACCTATTTTTATTTTTGGTTCAGTGCTTGCTTGAGCATATCTGGGATTTGTAGCCCATTTTCTAGGCTTATTGCAATTTCACTCTGGTATTTTATAGGAGCTATTATAACTGATAGGTTAGCTTCATGGTATTGATGATACATGGCTTAACTACCCTAAAAACTGCCTTTTCCTCTAAATTGTAAAAAGGTGATTAAATTTCAATTGATGAAGATATACTGTGAATGCATATATATAATAAAAAATCCTAATGTTTATTTTCTGCTATGCTTTCTGGATTGTCCTTAGGAGCCCATTTTGTCTTCCAGTCATGATATCTCATATATAAAGATGGTATTGTAGTTCCCCTTATAACAAAAATGCAAGCTGATCTACTAAAGACTGATAATTCAGTTACCTCCAGTTATTAAATATATCATTTACATTGTATTGTGAAACAAGGTTGACATGTGAACGTACCTTCTAAGCCACTATGTTTAGGCAGGAGTGCATATATAGAATCAATGTGCAGTTGGCTCTTCAGATGCAGAGTTTTCTGACCTTCTTAATGACTATTTATGTTTGTGGGCACATCTGCTGCATTCATCTTTGCAAACGTAGCTATATAAGCCAGAGCTCATGTGCTTCCTTTTGTCAGTGATTGCTTCTTAAAGAAAATCTTTTTTAGATACGCCAATCCAATGACAAAAAAAAGTCATTTAATATCTGTGACACCTGATAACACAGAACAAGAAGTAATTACTGCTATTAGATGGTAACAGTGAAGAAGAGCAAGAATGCTTTTAGAAAGATTAATATCCTGAGGAAAGAACACTGCAGACTCAACTCATTAAACAGAGTTGTGGTGTGACTTAATTCTTTTTCAACAGTAAGGAGTCTGATGTCTGTATCACTGCTTTTACACAGACTATAAAGGGAGACAGAGTAAAAAATGGAGTTTCCTACTGAGATACATTACCTAAAAGACGCACTTTATATACTGTATTCTGTCTAAGGATGTGTAGTTTTTATCTAGGGAATATGAGCATATACTTAGCCCTTTGTATACAGTCAATGTGTGTTTAAACTTTTTTGGAAAGGTTTAGTTGAAGGTTCACAATTATAGCAGCTAGCGAAACCTTGAAGAGATCACTGGTTTAGGGAAGGCAGAATGAACAGCTATGAAAATACCTTGATATATCGTCATCCTCTGTCAAAAAGCGTTTAATGCCCAACTGTTTGGGTGTTTTCTTGTAAGAGAAACATCAGGCTAAGAGTGTGATGATTACTTGCTATATACCAAGGAAACTGCTAGCTTAAGTCATTTTCACACCACAGTTTCTAGAAGCAGCGGGAGCTGAGAATCAGAGGAAGAATGCTGCTCTTTATGGACCAGTTAGTGAACTTTAATTTGAAGTAGCCACAACTGGCACTCAGATTCTGTCCAGATGCTCTTCCTACATTTCATTGATGAGTTGCTTAATTTGAACAAACTCATGGGTCTTTCTGTCATCAAGTGTACTGCCTTTGAGTCAAAATGCTTTTCTAATGATCGTACAGCACTGGACAAGCAAGAGAGAAGTAAAAACCTAGCACGCAAACACTATGAAAATCCTCACCTAATCCAATGTGCAAGTTGAAAGAGTTGCCATACAGCAGATGACAACTGAAAAAGCTGAGCAAGTAAACGAAAAAAAAATATTCATCACAACTGGCTTATCCTTTGGATTGTCCAATTTACTTGATAGGCACATTTTTTTATGGAATCCGTAATTAAATGGTTTGTCAGGCATATATTTTGGCATACAGTTATAATGCTGGTATTTCATGTCTTCATTGCTTTGTTTTGTGGCAGCATCATTTGTAACAGAACTTTATTTGAAAAGGAATAGAAAAACACGTGGCTTTTCTAATACACTATGCTTTTGATCCCACCTGTGTCAGGTTGCTAGTAGGAACTTTGTAATTCTAATCAGAAACATGATACATGTACTTTCATACCATACCAGTATTTAATGTACTCTTTTGTATATTGCATGAAATCTTATTGCGCTTGGTTGACGTCTGCAGTTATGTATGACCTGATCAACTATTCCCAACCCCCGCATTCTTTTATGTTAGACAAAAGTTCTACAACTTAGTAGTAGTGTTCTATGAATGAAATGCTGATTTCTTAGAAGGAATGCTTTTTTCATCCAGTCTTTTTTTCTCTGTGTTTATAGACTTGCATGTCATTTATCTAGTACATCATCTCTGTCCTTTCCAACAAATTAGACATGAAACTTTGGTATTTAGCAGAACAAAATCAGAAATCTAACATTTTAAATGCATTGGAAATGTGAAGGTTCATTTCTATGATGTAGAATACTAGATGAACTCTTTACCTTCAATGATTAAGACCACCAAACTTTTCTCAGATGGATTCCTGGGGAGATCACAGAAGCCCTAGTTAAAGAAAATAAGAGTTAATAATTATAGTCAGTGAAAGTAGAACATAACTACTTTTTCATTTCTTTCAAAATGTTTTGCCCAACTTAATACTCAATGACTGAAAAATTTCGCTTTTATTCACAACTCCTCCATACAAATAAGTGCAGGTTTTAAAAATCACTGCTGTTGTCTTAGCTCTTCTTTGTGTGGTTCTAGATACAGTTCCTTCCCTGAGACAGGGAGAGACATTACAGGGTTTAGTTTGAGGACTTCTATGTGTCTTCTCTTCCTGCCTGGATTCCTTGTCAGGGCTGGCAGCTGGGAAGTGATTTCACTGGGCTGAAGTGCAAAAAACATGACCAATAAAAATGATGCTTTCTCTCGACTCTGCCAATTTTTCCGCCCATCACCTTTATGTCACGGGTTTTGATTGCATGACATTAAAGACAGCCTATTTTAAGTCATGCACTCCTAGGATTGATTTTTCTTTTTGCACAGCTGTACTATTGAGCTTGACTATGCATAGTTGTAATTATTCAAAAAGTACGTAAAGAATGAAAGCTGCATTTCGGAGACCTGTTATCTGAAGGTGTATGGGTATTTCTGTCAAATCCTGTGACTCTCTTTCAAAAGTTCCAAGGTAAAAGAGCTTTTCTCAAAAAGTCGTTGTCAGATAACTACTTCTCTATTGATGTGAGGAGAAAAGATTTATTGAGCACTCATGCTTTGTTAACTGCTTTCAAAATGTAAAATCAAATCAAACATTTCTGCTTCTAAGTTCTTTCTAACTGAAGAAACAGCCAGGTGTTTTCAGGAATTTTTTTCTTGTCAAAATATTTTGGAAATTGAGTGAAATGGTATTAGGTAAGAAACGTTGTTACATCTAAGGAATGTTTCTTTAAAAAGTAAGTTGGGCATTGTTCTTACAGTATTGGTCAGAAGCCTCTTTATGGATGCTCTGCAACTTTTGGAAGAACACTGCTTCTCAAGTTAAAGTTGATTTGGTGTTGTGGAGAATTCTTCTACACTGGATGTGTGGCACAGTCAGAACACAATTCAGTTTCAGTTAGGTGCATGAAATAACTTATCTGTGGGGTTTTAATTATTTTCTTCCGTAAATTACTTTTGTCATTTGGAGTGATAGTCTCTACGTCAAACTCTGTGAAAATGAGTGGTATCAGATGATGTCTGATAACAAAACTAAACTCTTGTTGGATTCCAGACTTTCACTCATTCAGGATCAGGAATATTAGGCCTCTGTGTCTGAGGATGACATTTTGAAACCTTATGCTGCTAAAGCTGTGAATGGTTGGTTTGGTTTTTTTAAGTGGATAGGAGGGTAGGGGC